TGCTCTAATAAAAATATATAGAAATGTATTATAAAATAAATGATAAAAATCCCAATTTTTTAATATAAGTACATTATGTATTTAAGATTATTTACGTAGTTATATTGCGATGCATGAACTAGTTGTCCAGTAAATAAACAAAATATTTATTTGTTCTATATATTTATAACTAATCAGTAAATCGCAATGAAACTTTGCATAAATTATTTTGAATATTTAAAGTACTTATATAAAAGAAAAATGTAAATTCTTTTAGAATTTTTTAAATTTTCATTTTTAACAATAAAAATAACAAATAAAATAAATAAACTACAAAAATGTGTTATCAAACCAAAATATAATTTTACACAATTTTCATATGTATACAGTTTATTTGAAGTGTAAATATTAAACATATTTTCAAATTTAATTTTCTTTGCAGGGAGTGTACGTCTTAATACATCCTTAAGCGATTCTATCGGTCAATTTGTGTCCATATTTCTAATTCCTACCAATGTAAATAGCAAGTTGAACCGAGATTAAAGTTAATCTACATTGGTGAAAATGAATATTAACGGAGGATTAAGTTAATCATCGGCATTGAAATCATCACCCTATGATGATTTCGAAAATAAGTACGATGAGACGACGATATCTTACGCCGGGTCTACAATGAGTCGGTAGTCTTAGAAGTTGGCTGCTGGCCAATTCTACCGATTCATACGATGATTTCGACTAATCCACCGACCATCTTTCAGACTCGCTTTCGATTCATCGAGTCTCAGTGTAGACACTGTAGACTCAGATTTACAAATTTCGTTAATAGAATTAAGAGTCCTCTCTTCCTCTTCCCTTTTGAAAAAGCAGTCCACCGCGAAAGATCACATGCAAAAAAGAATGAAGATTCGATTTGATTTGACTTTACTTACGGGAAATTGAAACACTCGAGATCGGCAAAGCTCTTGCACTTTCACTCTCTAGACTTGCTTCAGTTTGCTTGGAGAACAAAGAAAGTTCTCCACACGCAGAGGTGTGTTTACACTCGTACTTGTGTCACTCGAGGCGTCAGTGTCACTGGCATAAGTGATATCTGGCAATGGCAATACTGGTCGGCAATACGGAAATCGGAATCCGATAAACTTCTCGACCACGTAGATTCCTAGTGTACGCGTTCAACTTTCACACCACCGTCAACCCGATCAACCAGTTCCGTCAACCAATTCGTATATACAGGTCTGCGTCGTCCGCGACGCGAGCGAGCGAGCGAATTCGTCGCACGTTTCACGATCCTTTGACGACTTTGACGGCGTAACGGCTGCAAGCAAGCCGCAAACGGCAAAGCCGTTTGATAAACTTGAATGTGAAGATGTGAATGCAGTGACGAATCAGAATGCGCCGTTGCGTTTAACTAGTCGACACACCGCGGCGCCACTTATAACAGTTTCCGTCGCAATCGGTAAGATAGTACTATCGAACGCTCCTCGCGATACTAATCGACCATCATTCAAGTTGAATTTGAAATGAAAAACCTGCGGATCCGTTCCCGCCGGTCGCATCTGCTGCGCGTTGCGCCGCGCACCAGTTGACCGGTATCGATCAATAGCGCTATCATGTTCCATTCATTTCCATCTATCTGTAGATTAATTTTAATCTCAATTTAATTCACTTTTTATCTTTTTCCAATTCTAAAAATTAGAAACAAAGAAGTAAATTGAACCAAGATCAAAATTAATCCACATTGCTAAAAATAGACGTTAGTCGCGTGCTTAACTGAATTCTCTCTTCGATTCGTCGTCTAAATTTATTATTTAAATTAAGGAATATACAGAAATGTAGATGATCATTCGAGCCGAAGTCCCGAAGATCGTTTTATCCACTGTGAATCCGTGATCCTTTGCGTAAACACACTTTGTGTTTTCTCATACAATTATATCGTCATGATGAATTCATTTTGTTATTAAATGAATTCTGACTGAAATAATTGGAATAAATAAATTTTTTTACAATAATATAAGTTTGCAAAACATTTATTGTCAAACTAATCATACAAATATGTATAAACCGCCACGTTATTACATGCAAGGCAGTGTAAATTCACCACAAAATTTTAATGCTTACTCATTAAAGGTTATTAGTCTTTTTTTTTATTTTAATTAATCGTCATACTTAATCCTTGCATTCATCCCTCACCATTCATTCTCAATTTAAGGTAATATAAAGATACTGTTTTTTATAGACTTTCATAATATACATATAATAAAAACGCATTCATTCGGCCAGGTAACGCACCGCCGTAATACATTGTATTACAATAAAGCGAGTTGTGTAAAAGAATACTATTCACAATGCTCTCTTTCGAGAGAGAGAGAGAGAGAGAGAGAGAGAGAGAGAGAAAAACAGGTAGACATTATTTAAGGACACTTGTTGTAGGCATTAGTATTTCTCTTCTTACATTCACAAAGTTTATAAAGTAGCAAAGACGAGTCTAATCTGTTATTGTAAGACTAAAATTTTATTGTATTGAGCACAACGACAGAAAGCAGTCATATGACTGCTATTTAAAATGGATTGGTAAATGTGCTTTGAGGCATTTATAAACAATATTAAGCCATAAAGCACGCTTTTTCAGTGTCTGTAATAAAATAAGTGATATTGAATTAATTGTGCTACCATTTATGCATTATATATCATTTGAAAAATGCTTGATATCTTGTACCGAGTCTTATTGCTATTTCGAAAGTGTCGTAATTGTTCAGTATGAAGGATGCGATTAGGAAGCATCGTATTATTTACAATACAATAACGTGTCAATAATGTTATCAGCATTTCCCTATATCTGCACGTACTTTTTTCAAAATAACTCATGTGTCTATCTGAATTCACGTACTGTAATTCACGACTATATGGTAAATACGTATAACAATTTACCATACATAATGTATGCGAAGAGATTGTAAATATTTAGTTATGTATAAGGATGCAATTGTGGTGTAGGGCATGTTGATAACGGAGAGTTTTTTTGATTACTAGACGGCGGAGTTAAAAGGCCACTCTCGTTTGGGCTTTGTCTACCAGGTTCAACATTTGTATCCGAATCGTTCACATAACCACTCGGGATTTCTCCAGCTAATCGTTGCTGCGCCTTTTCCAACATATTCAAATCGACCACGTGAGTCTGTATGCGATGCGATTCGTCTACAACAATATTAGGTACAGTGGCCTTCAGTCCGGAACCAGAGTGTGATTCTACGAGCGTAATCGTAGATCTTAAAAGAGACTGGGAGTCCTCTTCCGCGACGGTAGTAGCAAATGCCGTAAGCCATTTGACGCAAGGAGCAAGCTGTTCCCACGACAATCGGGATACTCTTAATGCGCATTCTCTTCCTTGAGTATGATAAATTGCTGCTGCAGCTATGTGACTGTATGGAAACTTTAAACAACCTTCGTCCAAAGTCGCCAGATCTAATAACTGAGCTGCTTGAGAATATTGCAATCCACCGTACTGTGGATATATGAAAGTGTTTGGTTTGGATGAATCGCCTGATTCGATCTGCATGTAAATATTGAGCCATCCTGGAGCAGTTATCGGGGATAGATTCCATCCGAGTCCTTTCAAAATCATTAACTCTTTTCCT